TGTTTGTTTTATAAGGCAAATCTGGAGGGCCTTGTCATTTCAAATGAAAGATACATGCACTCTTTCTCTTTCCACCTTTGCAACGCGTGCAGTGTTGTACAAAGGATGCAGTATTACTTTTGACAACAGAACTGTGGTAGAAAATTACCTTGTGTGTTTTTTTCCCACCCCACCCAAAGAGATTTAGTCATAGTGTTGGAAATCGAAAGAGATTTTTTTAAGGCTTGGCTGTTACTGCGTCTTTTTGAAGAGAAAAGCTCCCACATTGTGTTTAGAGGACAGGACATTATCAGATACTGTCTGTATCTCTGTTTTCTCAAGCTATAGATCTGTGTTTCTGATGACCAGTGGTCACAAATTCATTGGAAACCCAAACTATTTTTAAAGAAGATAATTGTATGGTTTTTATCTAGCTCTGGTCAGTTACCCATCTTCTGTAACAGGGGTCTGATATTTGATCTTGTCACTAAAATTTCAAGAGATGAAAATCAACAGCCTTGAATTATATTTCCTTTTTTTTTTTGTTTGTTTGTTTCTGTTTTTTCATTATTTTTTTAGCAGTAACAAAAGTAATTTAACAAAAATAAAATCAGAAAGTAGTCTATTGACGTTGTGTACTCGGTAGTCCTGTCCCTGCCTGTAACAGATTTCACTGATGTATTTTTTAATACAGAAAACTATGTGAAAAGTAAACCTGCCCCTGATTCTGTCTGATCAAAGCCCATCTGTGTCTGTCATTTCTGATCAAAGATACTGCTTTCCTCACGTCTTGGCCTAGCGCTCTCGGGGGAGATGTTTCGGCCACAATACGTACCCTGCCAGTAAACTACCCAGGCACTTGGAGGCTCAGGGATGCTCCTGAGGACTGATTTCTTGTTCTGTGAACACTAACCTGTCCCTCCCCGTAGTTATATTAAATAGTGAAATAGCAGGCATGGTATTTTGTATTGGGATGGTTGATAGAACGTTTCAGGGAAGATAAAATCATTCTGGAAAGATTAGTGTATAGGTCTGTAGGGGATAAAAGAAGTCCGAGCTGTGTCTGTTGCACACAGGTGTGCCCAGAACCTCGATGTCAGTAGGAGGAGGGGAAGGATCCGGGAATTTCTCTATTTCCTGGGCATCCCCTGCAAGAGGGGAGCTGTTCTTGGCTGCAGCAGGCTGCCTTTGCCCGCTCCCTCCTTCCCTGATCGCCCCCAGGGAATAAGCAAGAGAGCAGTTAGGACAAGCTCTTGGGAGGGCTGGCTTTTGCTGGGTGGGATTGTCTAAAAAATAATACCACATCTGAGTTTTCCCTTAATAGACATTAACAGAAATATTCCCATAGAATAAAGTAGTATATTTGTATCTTATGAGAAACGTACTCATTTTTCTTTCTCTGGAGACCCTCACTCTCTTGTCTGTGAACACTTTCACATACATTAATTTTTTCCAGGTACTTGGAATGAAGGATATTTGCCTTTCATATTCTCTCAGCAAGGAAAGGTAAATCACTTTAAGCTTGACTCACTGAAAGCAAAGTTGTTAAACATTGTGCTAACTGCTTTTACTTAGTGGCTCTGAGATGAGAAAGGTTTCATTGCAGTTCGATGAGGTAATTAACAGGACAAGTAGTTTTAGTTTCAATTTCTCTGGTCAGATACCTTCTGCTTGGAGGCCCTTTGGCAACGGTGTGCGTTGTCTGGGGTGTGCCTGGGCTATCTTTGCCTCTTGAGGAATTCCTAGTCAGCCCGGCTAGAGTTCACACTGACTTATAAGATGGATTACCTTGAAGTGTTAAAATATATTTATAGATTATACACACAGGATCAAAGTTCTGAACACTTAGACAGAGTTGTCTATAATAAACATATCTGAATCATTTGCTGACCGTGCAACAATGTTTATTACTTGAAATGCTCTTTTAAGGAGAAAAATCATGCTGTAGTCTCAGTGTGGACAGAGAAATGGCAAAGATGAGTGTGAGAAAGAAAAATAGAAGATGATGCTTCCTGCTAACAGGGTTTCTGTCGCTATCCCTTCCCGCTGCTAGACACACGTTGTTTAACTCCCCTTAATTTTCAGTGTGCAGGGATGATGGCATAGCTGTGCAGACTGATTTGAGAGCGTGGAAGTGAGCGTGTCATGTTACTCCTTACTGAGTGTATTCACAGTTCTGGCTGCTAACGCAAGTCTTTCTTTGGATTTTGCAGAGATTTTTGTTTAAAATGCTTCTGGAGTGTGGCTGTTACCTCCGTGGTGCCAGCAGTTTCCTGGCAGTTCTCACTGCGAGAGGTGCTCGGTGCAAACCTGCTGCTCTCTCCTGTCTTCGGTTGGCTAAAGAAGGAAACTGGGGGCACGTTGAATGCCACAGAATTAGGTGCAAAAAGAAGTTAAATTCTCTTACGAATTATTCTGCCAACTACTGATCTAAAAGAAACCCCTGGATTTCTCTGGCAGTAGTCACCAGCCATGGTGACAACGACATGGCTCCACCGATGCCGTTTTAGTGCCAGGGTCACAGAAGTGACTCTGAATGTGCAATAAAGTCTTTGTTTTTTGGCAACAATCTCAGTAACTCTTCGCAGTCCCTTGAGCAATAGTTTCACTGTTGCCTTAAAAAAAAAAACAAACAAAAAAACCAGAACAAATGCCCGTGTATAAAATCCTTACGATGCTCTTCTCAAACCACCGTCCGTGCTCGCTGTCTAGGCTGGAGTTTTGCTCCCATCAGCACAACAGGACCCTCCCCCTTTTTCCTTCACGTGTCGTCCATTTTAAACATTCCTAACAGAGCAGAGGCAAAGTTAAGATTTGCTGTCTTCTATTAAATAGCTGCGCGTCTGCAGTATGTCCCCAGTAGCATGACCAGCCTTACAAGACTTAAAGAAATAACAAGTTTTGAGCAGCTGAGCTACTGAGCAGTTATTGTCCCTTTGTTTTGCAAGAGAAACTATCCAGTTTTTGAGGACGGTGTTTTGTAAGCGAGTATGAGCACCAAAAATCTGTAAAAATCATGGACCATTGCTGAGGAGAAAGTCTAGAAGGAGTTTTAGGAGCAGTGAAGCTGGACAGGAGTGCACTCTGCCTCTTGGAGTTGCAGGTCTTGCCTCGCTGGTGGCTGGTATGAGTGGAGCAGGCAGGAGCCGCTGCTTTTCATCTCCTCTGCAGATGA